TTCAATTCGAACAGGTTATCACTCCAGTTGGCCGAAAGCCCTAAAATAACCAAACCCCAACGTTTTACTTTCACTGGAAAACCGGGAACTCCAGATAAATAGTCAATAAAGCACCTTGCGCATCTTTATATCGTTAAGTGAAACCGGTTCGGTTTCGCACGCGTCAATCAAAACGGGCTGCGTAGCGTTGAGATAACCCTGGATGTTACCTGCCTTCTGGTATACTTACCGAATCGGAGGTATTCGGAAGAGACGTGATCAAAGTGACTTAATCTCGTCCCCGAAATTTATCGGTTGAATGCCGAAAATACTTTTACTCTATGACTAGTCTGCTTTTTAAGAATTCAGAATCGCAATATTTCATTGACCAATTAGTTTCGGTAAATGCTGGATGGTTCCAAGAATATTCCTCGCTAACATTTTGATTGTGTGGAAGAAGTACGTGGATATAAAGTTCAAATTGATGCTACACTGGTATTTAGTCTTATCGGAGGTGGCAGTTTGTTTTTTTTATCCTGGGCTAATGTTCTGTGGATACATTGGTTAATATTTGCTCGCGTAGCCCGGGTGCATTTTGACATGTTCGTCGAGCTGGCTATTTTGTTTACATGCTTTTTGTTAGCAACCGAGACAACGTCTGTCCTTAAAACAAGCACCATAGACACCACCAATTTGGCCAGTGAAGTAACATTTACAAAACATCACCCAGATTGACGAGCATGCGACATCGAATTATTTTTCTGCTTTATCCCAAGTATCATGATCTGGACCACATTCAGCAAATGCACCATGATCTTCTAAAAGTTTCAAGTCGAAAACTCAGTTATACTACTGCAGGTAAAATCAGTAGTTAAAAATTGTAAACCAGTGCTGCGTGGCCTATACACAACTGTAAGGTACAAGCAAACCCATTTTCGCGGGATAATATGCCACAGGCGTTTAGATTACGTTTCAACCTATTGAAGTTAATTCCCCACGCTGGCAGTCAGAAACCGAAAAATGCGGATTCTCTTATACTTTTGATTTCACCCATCAGGAAGCACTTTGTTACGCAAAACGGCTTGTCAGTCTCAATGTGATCACGATGATTCAAAATGTATGCGAAATAATTTTTTAACTACTGTCTATTTTTTCTTCGACTGCATTATACGTTTATGCAGTCGGGTCGACAAATCTATTTCTCGCTCTTCAAAA